GAGAGCCATCCAAGATATAAGCGGTATTACTTACTACCGATCGTACAATCGTTATCCCTAATTGGTACAGGGATAGACCAGAACGAGAGTTTACTTACCTACCCTACTTTATATATATTCGGTTTAGGCTTACTTCCTTAATCAATATTTGAGAAAACAGTTCACGGAGTAGTTCAAAACTGTCGCAATTCTATCTTTCGAAGAATACTGATACGATAATCATCGCTAGTAGCACTGAGTCTGATCTACTAACAAAAAAAAACTTAATAACAGGCATATTTTTATACATGTGGTTTTCAATGAGGCAATACTTTTTTCGGATTTGGTCCTTTTGACCGCTGTTACTTGATTGGTACTCAGTTTGGTTAGCCATTTCATAATGAACAGACTTACTCCGGAACAACGTTTGCAAATCGCGCAAATTTATTACCAAAATAATCGAGAATAATCGCCCAGTAGACTCGATAATTTTAGCAACTATGGATCGGATCCTCAGAGACACCGTACAGTGCACTCTGTCGACGCTATTGCTGCTTTGGAACAGAGTATTCGAAGAAGACCCGAATGTGTCCATACGCCATCGCGCGCAACAATTGGAGCCGTGCCTTTTGTAGTGATGATAATCCACAAGCCATTGTTGCGACGCCGACACCTCCTTAAAAAGTCACTGTTTGGTATGCTCTACGGGCAGAGGGAATCATTGGTCCATAATTCTGCAAAAAATATTATTGCTGATATACGGCTCCAATTACTGCAAAGAGTGGTCGAAAATTGGGTCTCTCGGCTGGAATTTATTCGAGCCAGCCCAGGCGGTCATTTGACCCAAGTCATTTTAAAAACATTATATGCGTTTTATTTCTTCTTGAAAACCACATGTCTGAAAACATCCTTAGTTTAATTAGTAGTGTGACATGTCGAACCGTCTCAGTAGCTTAGAAACACTAAACTATTTGACAATTCTGAAAATAAACTATTGAGACTTTATTTCCTAAAATCAATAATGAAATACTTACGATATTACTTCGCCTGCCATTTATAAACTATAAAATCTATAAAATAAAACTGAGTAGATTTGAAGAAACGATTTCGAATTCAATCCGCTTACTTTGTTATAATATGTATAGTGTCAAGTTATTATTTTCTTGGCATTTAAATTTTCTTGGAATTTAATTAAATCTCACTTCTTGAAAGCATGTATTTATTCATAAAAAATTATTTTCCAACACTTGGACCATGGGACAAAACAGGCCTTACAATTGTTAAATCTTTATAAATACGTGCTACATGCCATTTATCTTCCTTTAGGAGATTGAAGTCATGATCCTTTATCTCTCTATTACAATGCTTCACTATATTATTTTAGCACGTCAAAAGTAATATTATATAATAATATATATAGTAAGTACGAATGTCTGATATTTTCTACGTTTCTCACGTCAAATGTCACCAGCAGTCACGTGCCTTCAGCAATCTGAACATAGCCATAAGCATTAGTGTATATATTATTATATATGTTCATGTACATAGTTATAATATATATCCAAGTGTCGTCCGCCAAATTATTTTTTCGGTTCATAAAGAGATTGTTTTGTCTAAATGCAGGTATTACAGAGCATACACGTACAAACACCAAAGTGCGTACTTTAGTGTGTTAATGACAAAAGAATCTTTAGATTGTCACTTCTTCATTTGAAATAAACTTTCGAATATGGTTAGTTAACATGAATTAGGTGCAGACAGGTGCGTAAAGCCAACTTGGGTTAGTCAATAAGTTGTTTATTCATCTCTTGTCCGTCCGCCAACTTCCGTCACGCACTAGAAACATATTTCGTTTGCGTCAATGCTAACGTACGTGGCCAGATGTTTAGGACAAAAGGTTCTTCATCTACAAAGTGGCGTATGTCTTGATAATATCTAACGTTTGGAGAGTTTTGCATAGTCTCCGAACTGCTATTGATGTTTCGATCTTGTCTGCCAAGAGGATAATTATTTTTAATCTGTCCGATGTTTTAATTTAAGAGCCATCGAAAGCAGTCAGGTAACTTGTATAGTCTTGATTACAAGAGGGTCCAACATTGTATATGATAAAGAGATAAACTGGTAAAGATATCAAAAATTCTGTACATGAAGCCATTTTGAAGTATCTAATGCTCTGTTTGAAAGTAGGTATGATGCCCCAATATGATGACTCTTTGTCCCCGAAAAATATTCACTCGTTAGTTCACGTGTTTGAATGAAAATGACGGAATGTAACAGATAGTCTTATTAAGCAATAAAGGAGTTTTACCAATAGAAGGCTAAACGTACTTATATAACGGCCGCCCAGTTAACAGCGAAGCATGATTTGGAAGGTAAATATGACGTCATATCATTCGAGGGCGATACATAGACTATTGTGAGCATCCAAATTTTGTGTTAAATTTTTAGAGACGACATATATTTTTCTTTAAAACAACCCTCCATTTCGTCGAGTTGTCTTTTTTATCGCAAAATGTCTTTCCCTTTGCGTCCGTGAACAGGAAAAGTCACTGGAGGCCTTATCCGGTGAATACGTTGAAGCGGAAGTAATTCTTGGCCCAATTAAGTAAATTAGTTTTAGTGATTTAAGACTCGGTGTGGCACCCACGTGTAGGTAGGTTCTGAGAGTGGATGTCTGACGACGTACCTAAGACTTTAGGAGCCCATTGCGAAACGACCGGGACTAAAATCCCCTCACTCCATTATGTCTTCTCTGGACGACCCTGTGCTACCGATCAGTATAAAGAGTTTTATTTGTGCAACCTTTGAGACATCGTCAAGAAACCCTCGACCGATAGCCAAGATTCTTTTTCCATACAAAGCCCTTGCATTTGCATAGAAGATGTTCTGCATATTGACAGCTTCTACGATAGTTGTTGTATGGTATTCCCAGTCCGCTGGCACGTCTGCCAATTATACAGTCTAGCACTGTTAGCATTTCTACTAGAGTTCTTAGGTCATTCTCACTCGGCTATCTAGTTTGGATCCATCTGTATAGATACTTATCTCCGTGTCCCTGCCCACCTGCCTACCTCACCCCTATCCCACTCTTCTATGAAAGTGAAAGCAATATTAAGAATCGGATTTCAGTTTAATTCTATAGGATTTCGACACTATGTACGGAGCTTTCGACATGTTCTTTCTCGCTTAACTTTTATGGAGTTTTTATCTCTTATAGGTCCATTAAGTCTAAGTAAAAGTCTGAAGGAGACGTTGATATTCGGTGTCCCCAAGGTTTCTATGCCATCCAGCAAACCATTTACCAGTGGCTACTTCGTGTGCCAGGGATCTCAGATAACATCCACTAATTGAGTTTTTGATGGAGGAACCCTTTTTTTGGAATTCTCTTAACACATTTCTTTTTAAGCTTGGGTCTAATTACATACATATGTATTCATTTCTAGTTACTTTTCCGTTCGCCTGGTATTATTATTATATATATATTTATATATATTGTATGTATAATTTCAAAAAGTTTACATCACTCTCAGCAGTTTAATGATGACGAAGTGATTAAATCTCATGACTTAATATATAATATAATAATAATTCTGAAGCAAAATTCTTCATATCACACTCAATTTCCTCTGCCCAAAATGATGTGGAAATAACAAACTAAATTCGTATTATACAACCTTAAATCACCGCAAGAAGTGTAAATTCAATATTTTGGAATTCAAAATATAATATTTACTAATAATAGAGATTTCACATGCTGCTTGACAACTAAATGCCTCAAAGTTTTGATGAATTTTGACAGAAGGAAGTATTAATATGGTGATGCATCACACGAAGAGAATTTCTTTCATGAATAAATATGTAGATGGGATTATTGGGAAGGAAGGTGGTGAAATCGAATACAAAATAAAAATTCGAGTTACGAAACAATTTGAATCGAAATTTCAATACTAAATATTTATTCAGCACTATAAAAATACTGGTACACACTTGTAGACATTGTATAATGCCAAACACGGCAACAAACATGCAGAAAGTGTTTGCAATGCATCGTGTACAAATTTCTGCGTCAAAATTGCTTCGACTGAGTACGAAATTAAATTATAGCGCCAAAAATAATAACGCCAATTTTTATAGATGATTACAATGTGGAAAATGCAGCACTGCTCCTATTTATTTATTTATTTGTTTTTTTTAATTTAATTTCAGAATTTCGTAATAGCCAACACTACATAGTTCAGAGAATTGGATTTATTTCTCAACCGCGAGATATTCAACGGCTGTCTAGACTAAAGTGTACTTGCGCCTGCTCCAAGAAAACTCAAACCTCGACAAGTCAATCGATCTTAATTAGACACTTATTTATGGTCGTCAGTATCCAGCGTTTTAATATGTGTCATCCTAAAATACTCTAAAAACGACACAAAAGTGGTTTGTACCTGGAGTTTAACTGATAATATCGACATTCGACACAGAATCATTGTTGAAAATGTTGAAAATTGTATGTGAGTATAAGGAGGTGAACTGCAGAAAACTATCACGCTTTGGTGAATTGTAAAAAAAAATTGCTGTACAACTGGTCGTTAAAAAATTTTGGTAGCACTACTGAAAGATGATGCCGACTTAGAGGCTTTTTTATGTTTAACAAGACTAAAAGCAATACTTCCCTGATACGGTCTTCCTCTTCCAATTAATTACTAATATTGCAAAACAGGGCTTCCTCTTCTGTATTCTACTACATCTAAACATATCTAACTATGCTATCGCTTTAAATAATAATGTTAGTCAAGAAAATTAATTAATCGTATAGAAGAACCTTATAGAAATGTCTATTTCTTTTATAACCACATAATAAGAGAAGGCTTAGCAAAAAATCAAGGAAATATTCGACAAAGAGTCAGTATTGTATATAAAGGAGGAAGAACATAGCGGGTGTTTTTTTTTTGGACGTTTGTAAGTAGGCAATACTTTTTTCGGAGTTGGCATTTTTGACAATATTAAATTTTGATTTATATTCAGTCTGGTTTGCCACTTCATAATGAACAAACTCCGAAATAACGTTTGCAAATCGTGCAAAATTATTAACAAAATAATGGTTAGAAAAAAATTAATATTTGGTCAGCGATGAAGCTCACTTTTGCTTGATAATAAACTAAATTGTCGCATTTATAGTGATGATAATCCACAAGTCAGAAAGAATCACTGGTCCATATTTCTTCAAAAATGGAGCAGTCCATAATGTTACAGTCAATGGGGAATGCTTTAGAGCAATGACTTTTTCGCATCTGAATTTGGTGATGTTGATGTGGAGGACCTTTGGTTTCAGCAAGATGGCACTTCATGCCATACAGCCAACGAAACAATTAATTTTTGGAAGGAAACTTTTGGGGAGTCTCTAAGATCGTGCAATTCAACACCGATGCACTATTTTTTGTGGGGTTATAGGAGGTCGCTTTTTGTCAGATAAGCCCGTGAACAGTAACGCCTTGGAAGAAAATATACGGCGCTTTACCTGACATATGGCTCCGATTGCTGCAAAAAGTCGTCGAAAATTCGGCCTCTCCGCTGGAATTTGTTCCAGCCAGCAGCGGTGGTCGCTAGCCCGAAATCACTTTTAAAACATATTTTCAAACCCTTATACTTATAATAAAGCTTAATTCTAGTCGATATGGTTTTTTTGTTTTTAAGTAGGGAGAAGCATCGAAAGCCGAAGTGTGGAACTTTAATCCGCTAAACCTAACCTACTCCCAACTCATGTCTCTCCCACGGAACCACCGGATTAAGTATTACTTCATAGAAGAGTAAAGAACACTTAAGTCTGCTCTACGGTACGGACTGACTGACTCCTAATCTGTTGTAAGTACCTCAGTTTTGTCATAATTAGAGCTGCCGCATCGCCGACAGCTTTCCATTTATCAGAGGACTGACAAATATGTGCTGTCAAAGTTTCCACCGTTAGACTACCGTCGAGTGTAGATTTTAACTTTTCGATAATATTTAAAAAAAACGGGGGCACTGAAAATAAACATGTTCAGAGTCTTCTATGCACTCTATACACGTCGGACAATACGGACTAACATCATGATGAAATTGGAATAGACACTTTCTAAAGCATCCATGCCCACTCAGTATTTGGATTAGGTGGAAATTTAGGTCCCCGTGTCGTCTGTCTGTCCACGAATGAATGTCCGGAATCAGTCTGTGGGTCCATCGTCCTTTAGATGAGGTTTGCCATCGTTACTGCCACACTGTTAGGCTCTTGGTTCTCTCCTCCTTTTTTACTCCTGAAGACGTCACTAACGGCTAACTAATACTTCAACAGTATCACTTGATATCGTTCGGAAAGCACTTATTAATCGGATTGCAGTGAGCCTATGCTTTGCGTTTATTTGTCTAGCATATAAATTTATGTCTAGCGCTGGTATCCATATTGGTGCTGCATATAATATCACGGAATTCATTGCTTTTGCTCATGGTAGCAAACCATTAATGCAATCGTTGCATTTGAGCCTGAGGTCACCTAATGTTTAGCCACTGCTACCACTATTAGATCATCCGCATATGTTATTGTTTTCACGTTTTTTGGTTGATGTATTCTTAGTACCCCGTCGTACATCAAATTCAATAGTAGAGGCCCTAAGACCGAGCCTTATGGTACTACACTCGAGATAGTGTAGCTCTGAGTGCCCTATCTCGAGTGAAGTACCGCAAGGCTCGGCCTTAGGCCCTCTACTATGGAACTAAGATGATATGGTAACATTAAATGATATGCATTTTTTGTCTTCCCCAAAAAAAACACCCTTCATACAATAAATGTATGGTTATTTAGTTAACAATAGTTTATAGGAGTAAATCTTCTAGAGATTACTTAAATTGGGTATACATTGTTGAAATATATTAACATTTTCAAAAATATTGTGAACTTTATATATCTATAACTTGATACTCATAAACAAAGCACTTGGTTATCTAATTAAATTTATTGAATAAAGCTTTTGAAACAGGTGGCAACCCTCACACATGTTTTTCAATGCATTGTTGCCAAGCTAGTAATTATACTATTATAAAATCCAATCGTATCATATAATGATAATTATTCTCAATTTATTTCAGCGCATACTCTAAATTGTAGAATTCATTTATAGTCTTTGATGAAGACTTAGACTACAGACATGTACTATTGTCAAATAAATGCTAAAATTTCTAATTAGGAAAAGGTATAAGTATACTTAATTTTGCAATTTGCGCATCTTAACCAAATAAATGCATACGAAAAACTATAAAAATATATATGAGGGCGGCTCTCAAATGTCAAACGAGTAATTTTTATCAGATTTTTTTAAATCTCAAGGTGGTTACTGCTATACTTAGTCCAAATTATCATCTATAAATTTCAAGAGTTTGACTACTATACGAACCGCTCTAATCATCTTTCGAATTTAGTAAAAAATTTATATTTGACAACTTCAACTGTTGTAGTATTGAATTCGGATATTAGAGAAAGATTGGTTTTGGTTTTGTTGCTTTTCATAGCCCCATCTTCTCCTTGACGCTTGAGATTTTAGAAAGATCCTGTATAATTTTCTTTATTCCATAGCACCACCCTAATACACTTATTTAAGTGCAAAAGTTATACTGCATCATTATGTGCTAGCAATAAATCACACGAGATGCAAATAATTTCAAATTGTTGGCAACTAAATTCGGGTGATTTCCGTTTACAGCTAACCGAGTGAGCAACGAGCAATTTATCAATGATACATCAACTTGTGCAATACAGACGGGTATTTCGATATTTTATGCAAAGCAATGAAAAGAGGTCAAAGTTCAAATGCACTGTCAGCCAGGGAGTGTGACATTAAAGTGAATGGGTGAATGGCTCTGGCATAATTATGATTTCGGACGAACAAAAGGGACATATTTTACACACAACTGCGGTTCATTGACTATCCTCATATGTGTTGGTGGTAATTGTTGCTCCAATAGCAAAAGTGTATATTATTAAATGCAACAACAACTAACAAACAGTGTGACCCGAGCATAGCCGCCAACTTGCGACCAGCTGACGGGCAGACCCAGATCTAGATGAGCCGACAGTAGGTGAATTTGCATAGACAAATAGCTAGACAACAAGTCTCTCGACTGTGCCACACACACACACACACACAGCCAAAGGCACAGTTATGCCCGCTCGCATGCACCCAGCAATTCATTCACTCAGTGATTCAGTTATTCATTCATTCATCCGTCCGTACGCCCGACCAGCCATTTGTGCAGAGAATTACATAGCTGGTTGCATATTAAGTTTACGGCCAACAATTGCAGCGATTGCAACTGCTAATTAACATGGCCAAATCAAGTCTGGCCTGTGGCAGACTGGGCCGAACCAAATCGAGTGCAACGGCAAATGTTGGCAATCAAATCAGCGGCGCAGCTCGGTGCGGCGTTTGTGGCGTTTACATAATAAAACAGCGACAGTGCAAGAACATAAATGTACGTACACATACATACATACATATAAACAAATGCAATATGTAGAACAACAAAATCCACGCAAAAAAGGCGAAAAGAGAGCAGCCAACAACTGCAGTTGCGCTTTGATGATTCAGCAACAATAAATCCGATTTACGTATTTAATTCTACTACACTGCAGTTGTTGTTGTATACTTGCTTTTTGTAAAATATTTAAGACCCTTAGATATGCGCAGGCCACATGTATGTTGTTGGTGGGTATGTAGCCACGAAAAAACTCGGAGAAATAATATAGAGTGGATCACACAGCGGTTGCGTTCCAAAAAATGGTTAAATATCCGTTGGGATTGTTTCAAAAATTCCCGTTATAAATGAAATAGTATCTCAATTAAATTATTATTCCTGTGGCTTACTCGGCTGTCTTTGCTTCAACACTATGTTAGGCCAGCTTTTTTCTTAACAATGCAAATGACAACAGCAACTACTATTGATATGGACCTGAATTGTTATCCAAACCAAGGATGGTCAACTTGGCTGAATTCTTCAAAACTTTTTGGGTTCTGTCAGTTATTATTGTATATTATGTAACCTATCCTCGATACAATAAAATCTTCGTTTATCTAAACGTATTAACTCTATCGAATATAGTTTTATGTAGATTATTATATATTTATCAAATCCGTTTTATTTCATATCGCATTGTTATATTAACTTTGTTTTATATAATATATTTGTTTAAATTAACTTTATTGGTGGACGAGATTGCCAAGAGCCATCCAAAAACGTGACCGACATTGGTAAACCCATCGATTGTCTATATGACGATCTGGACAGCAACATGGCAAGGAAAGTCAAAACGCGTTGGAGCTATCTACCGGGGTGAAAAACTACAAAAGTACAAAGCCGTGAATTAGGAATACTCAAAGTTCTTACTGGCACTCGGCAAAAGAGACCGTAGGAACATGGTTGGAATGCTCACTGATGACACCCCTGGAGAAAGGTGCTAACAGGTCGAGAAGACTGCAGGAAATGTCAAAAGCCAGGGACCAGGGAAACAATGGAACATGCATTGTGCACTTCTTCCATAATGGCAAGACAACACTTTCAATATTTGGAAGCCTCACGGTATGAGACACTGGAACAGGTATCGATTATTGATATTACTAATGCGAAATTCACTTCAGCCTGAGTTCTTTTGCTATTCCAGGAACTTTTCACACACTCAAGCCAGGACGAAGTCCATTAATTCGTTCCTCTGATAAACTTCTTGACTCATTTCGATCAAAAATGTTTATTCCCTGAATATGATAAATCATATTTGCCACGAAGTTTGTAACACCCAAAAGAAAACGTCGATAACCTATAGGGTAGCATATATAGAAATAATTAGCATGATGAGCTGAATCGATTTAGACATGTCTGCCTATCTGTCCGTCCATCTGCCTCTATGTATTTACTCGAACTAGTCCCACAGTTTTTGAGAGATAGATCTGAAATTTTGCACGCGTCCTTTTCTCTCCAAAAAGCTGTTATTCGTTGGGAACGCAGATACCGTACCATTATAACATATAGCTGTTTTATAAACTCAAAATAAAATTCTTCTATGGAAAAACTTTTTTTTTTTTTTAACTATATTCTCGAAATTTGGCAATGGAACGCTATAATATCCGAATTTGTTTTTCGGACCTATGCTATAGTGGTCCATAATTAAGATTCAAAGTGACTGTTGGCTAGTTACGTTTTCAGTTTTTGCTATACATAAGTATATTGTAGGTAGTTGCTGGAAGGCATGCACCTGTGAAAAATAATATAGTTTCGGTGCAGCCAAAGTTAATGGTTTTGATTGTCTTCTAAAAAAGCATTGCTTTTAGAAGAACGGTGGTTATATTTCTGGAACATTTCTAGATACTAAGCCCTACGAATCTTGCCTTGGCCTTCACCTCAAATCTGTGGAATTCTATCATATGTAATTGCTGCTTTTCTTTATGAAACCGACGCGGAAAAGTCGATAAAGTTAAATTTTCATAAATAACTGCTGTTCCCTAACATTTCTCCGCTCACATCTCTTCTCTATAAACCAATGCTGAAAACACTTTTTTTGAAAGGGTTTTTCCCGTACCTTTTTGGAGACTTTTCTCATCCTCCTCTATCACTAGTTTTACGAAATTGCATATATCTGCTAGAAGCAATAATTGCAAAATTATCGTATATGTCGATGCCTACATATTTTAGCGATTTCGAAGTAAGTCGAATGAAGGAAACTCATATCATCTGCAATATTCAGAATACTACATCAATAGTAATTGTTGCTGACTGGTCTACAGTGATCATTGTTCTAATGCCTAGCTCAGAAAATAATATAATTTTCTTAACGTTTTTTTGTTATATTAGAGGCAGAGAGAACGAGTATACGAGTATATGCTTCATCAGGGCTCTATCCACGGCTGTGAGCAGCTCGACTGATAGGCGCCTAAAACCGAGAATTGTATAATATTTAGTAAAATATTTTGATTATTTCCGGCCCTTTCGGTTGGTATTCGCCAACATCTCATTAAACATTTTCACTAATCGAGAGTACATTAGTAACTTGTTGGATAACAGATTTGCTAACTTGAAACAAATTTTTAAATTATTCTAACAAGGCAGCCAGCGGAACACAGATCATAGGTAATCAATTCATAACATCAAACAAACTATATTTGCAAATGTTGCCACCCAAACCAAAAAATGGGCTTGCTTTTTGCTCCAAGTTATACTTGTTGCTGCAGTTTGGCGCACAAGTATTTGTAATTGCAATTTAAAAATATAGTTACAAATATATAAACACGTGTGTTTTATATGTCTGTTATACATCACGGTGTACAGTGGGTCACTACAGTGAAAATTATACACTTTCTTTATAGTATTTGTATTTAATTTTTAAAAGTTTTTCGAAGTAGTTTCTAAATCATCGTTTCAGGTTCGGCCTTATATTTGTTAAAAGCTTGGCACTTGTTTCTACGCTCGAAATGGAAAAGTACTGTTGTGGTACAAAACAAAAATATAAATTTAATTAAAAATAAAATAATCTTCCTTAACTTCAATGCACTTATTCCAATGAGCCTCCAATAATTTTATGCCATTCCTATAATGATTTTACGGAAGCTCTGCAAAATACTTGTCTCGGGCTGTAATAGCTTCTTCATTCGACGAAAAACGTTTTCCACGAAAGAATGGTTTCAGGTTTCTAAAGAGGTAATAGTCGCTGGGAGCCAAATCTGGTGAATACGGTAAATGCTCAAGCAATTCGTACTTTTATTCGTTTAATTGAAAAAAATGTGGAGCTAGTAGTGCTATTTCTTGGTAAGCACCACTCATTTTTCAACCATCCTGTATAAGCTACTATATCTTATGTAATGGCAGTCTCTTCAATTAATGGTTATTTTTGAATGATTGAACTAATTTTTGACAACTACTCGTATACTTAAAAAAGGACCACAACATATAATGTAACAACAAGTACAGGCTGACTATGGAGCACTTATTAAAGAAAGACACCTTCCAACTGCCTCGAAAAACAGAACCCTTTAATCTGATTGGTGATCACTTTCTTTAGTTTATTTTATGTATATCATCATGTACAAGAATTGGAACGGGTGTAAACTTTCTAAAACTTTAATATTAAGCCATTATCAATTGTAGTCGATCAAGAGATTTGATAGCTGATATTTGGTATTTGGATTTATCTTCAGTTCGGGCCATTACTTTTATTGATCATTCAGATTTAGGACTAAAATTTTTAAGAAGTTACATATTTTAGATTTTCGGATAATCATAGCACACCAGGGAGCTTATAACAAAGGCGTCAAAGGATAACACAATTTTGCTGCCTCAACCATTAGATAAGATATTAAGTCGATGAAATTGAGAATAGTCCGAAGAAACCATAAAGTAATTAGTGTGTAAACAGTTGACTCTGCATCTAAAAGGTCAAAGAAAATAACCAACCGTAAAATGTGCGAATAAAACGTTCAATACTCGATAAATATAATATTATCCCTCTTAAGGCTGTGAATTACATCCAGATTTTTTATACCCTGAACAGTGTATATTAAGTTTGCCACGAAGTTTGTAACGCCTAGAAGGAAACTTCGGAGACCCTATAAAGTAGATATATATTTATATACATACAGCGTGAAGAGCTAAATTGGTTTAGCCATGTTCATCTGACTATCCGTCTATATATACGCGTACTAGTCTCTCAGTTTTTACGATATCAATTTGAAATCTTGCACATGTTCTTCTATCACCAATAAGTTGCTTATTTGTCGAACTACTATAGCATATAGCTGACATACAAACTGACCGATTCAAATCAAGACAAAGATCGTATTATTTTATGCTATAAGAAATGTACCAGTGATGGGCTTCCGATTATAATAACAGAAATAAATACTATTCTAGGTCATGAGTAATTTTTTTATTCCTTAACTTTTTTTTTTGATACCTGTAAAATGTTATTCAAAATTTAAACCGGATCTTTGTAAACCCGTATAGCCGGATCATTTCCCAACAGTATTTTTACCAAATATACTCATCATCCAAATTTTATACGCATGAATCGATATTCAACACTGATATGCGGATAATCGAAAATGCGGATTCCTCAACACTAAAAGGTTTTCTCGAAATGTGTTGCTGTCAAAGAAGTTTGTAATAAAAATCTATCTACAGAGCTTAAAACTCATTCTGGTACCACTGTGCGCCGGCAATGCATTTGCTGGAATTTCTTAATTAATAGTTTGATTTCAATTTTATATTAAATTTATTTTCTGTTTTTTTTTTTTTATTTTTTTTTTTTGTCGTTGCTTTTGTTTTCGCCTTCGTCTAATAATGAAATTTTTATTTAAAATTCGCGCTCGTGCAGCGTACTAATATTGTTGGTGTTCAGCGATTGTGTGTCTGTCTGTTTCGCCCCCGTTGCATTGCCGTGAGGTATCTTAATAAATTTATGGCAACAGAAATATTTCTTGTCGCTTTTATTATCTGCGCTGTTGTTATTATAATTGTTATTTTGCTCGTTTACTCGTTGTTGTTGTTGCGGCTTTCGTTCAGGCGGCGACTGCAATTGCCATTGTTCGGTGCTTTTCAGTGCATTTTCCGAATCTACAAGTGTTTTTCGCATAAAAATCCAAAACAAAAAGACATTAATTTTACTTGTGCATAAAAGCGAAATGTTGTTTTCGGCTATTGACCCCCAGGAATGTAGTTTTCTTGATTAGATTGGCCCCCGTGTGCGGCATACATACGAGTATATGAAATGTAATTAAAAAATCAAATTAATAGTTTTGATTTAACGATTTCTGGACTGAGTCATTGTCTGCTTATTTTTGATTTAATACTCTCGATTTCGCAAATCAATTACTACTTGCGCTTGTGGTTGTAATAAAATTGCATTTAACCTTGAAATATACTTGAGCCAATTAAAGTAAAAACGTTTAGAATGGACCATAATGTGTGAAGTGAGGAAAACTGATTCACATTAGTGCATGACCCAATGCTTGAACGCAAATATATAGCTTTAGATAAGCTTACACATACGAAAAAGAAAGTTTCTTCCTTTCCAAACGAAGAGAAAAACGAACTTGAATGCGCTTGGAAGGTTCTGTTAGTTTATTTGGCTGATCCCTCAGCATTGCGAGCGGATCACACTTAGGCTATTATGTAGAATCCTTTGTGATGCCAAACGAAAAACTCCTGTAGTTGAATATCAGCTATTGAGAAAAGCGCCCTGAACTTATCACAAATCTGCTTAGGTGTTTGATTTCTATTTTCGCTATTTCACCTGGATGTCTAAAGGTATTAGATCTGAGGTATTTTTACCTTAATCTGGCAAAAGCGGGACATTTGAGAAGTAAGTGTTGAGATGATTCTATCCAATTTGCTTCCAAAGAGCTGAGGCAGCTGGCATCCAGTAAGATATTCAAATTACTACATGAGTCCCGATCGGACAGTGTCTAGTTAGAACTCTTACAAGCACTGAAAGGTGTACCTTGCCGAGAGCGAAGTGTTACTTGAACCTCTTATCACTTACCCTGGGCCAGAAGGTCCTTGCGTCTGCACTGCTGCTGGTAATCGACCACCGAATACCGTATACCGTTGTGACCAGGCACCTAAATCAGTCTAACCATAAATTAACTCGATACTAGAGATTGAAAGGAAAAGCTTCTGTATCCTGGGTAACACTACTTACCTTAATTACTATAGCTACTTGAAGCGGAAAGTTTTAAATTTTTTCTCGTATGCAGAAATATTATATTTTTACGATTTCTTCAGATAATCAGCCTTATCGTAAACATCGTGTGAATAAATCATTCCAACGTATTTTTATTCTTACAAACGAAAAATTCGTATCACGAATTTCGTTTGAAATGTTCGAATTTCGATTATACTATTGTGAACTTGGGCAAGTTTTGTATTGACAAAGTGGCATTGAAAAAAAATTTGTAAACTTATGAAACCAACTATTCGACTGTTTTGGCTTAAACACATGTTGCTTTTATTTTTAATTTTATATCGTACATATCGTAATCGCTATCAGCTGCATAAATTATGCAGATAACAATTATTGGACTTATTGATATATTTAAAGGAATAATGGATTTAAAAAAACTTCTTTAATGGCTCACATTGGGTAGCAACTTAAAAATTAATGGTTACTTTTTTCCTTCTGAAATCGATTTCTATGGTAACCCTTTGCTATTGGAGGAATCATTTAACTTCATTCAAAATACTTGCACTTTCTCGCTGTTTTATTTTTTAGAACCCTTTTCTATATAAAAATTGTCGGCTTTACTGTTGACGAAAAATGTCAACTGTATTTTATTATAGGCCTTAGTTCAAATAAAAAAGTTTTTAAAATCAATAAATAATTATTAAAGTATGCTTACATACATGCATTTTATTAATAGTTGTACCCAAATAACATGCTTGTGAATTCATTGATTCGCTCGAAAAATATTTTATTTAAGATTCGAGATGATTTTCGAATATCGAAAATTTTTTCCATGTATTCGGTGTATCCGACAAGTTTAAATTTTAAAGAAGAAATTCTAGACTCACTCTACATTAAAATTTCTTTTATTAACGGTCTACATTTTATCATGCTACATATGTATATGTATAGTATAATAACTATTCGTATCTTCCAAACTAGGTGTGGGAAATGTAATCAATTTTGTAATCAACGCGGAAAAGTTTTAATAAAAAATGTATACAAATTAGATTTGAATTATGAATTTTTCATATCAGTTGGTATAAAAAACTGACCCATTTGAACCGAACTCAACCGCGGTTCAAAGATACTCATAAACCGGTTCTTGAACTGGTATAATATTTTCTGAGTGGCTCGAACCACTGAACCGAATTGCATCGATTTCCGTTGTGGAAGGCAGTGATTTTAATCATTTTTTTTAAACGTGGGTTCCTCGACCGTTTGGACTAAAAGCAGCCACAAGCTTTAATGGAAAATTGGTCAAAGCAAAAAACTTAAATCCTGTGAAGTTGACAGCTTCCAGCACGTTTGCGACTTCAAAGAACAGCGAAAATACTTTTTGTTACTTTAAGCCACCCCCAGTTTTCCCTACCGAAATTGGCTTCTGAAATTTTCGTAGAGAAATGGGTACAACAATGGTGCATGCATTTTTATACCCTGAACAGGCTATATTTAGTTTGCCACGAAGTTTGTAACACCCAGAAGCAAACGTCGAAGACTCTATAAAATACATATATACTAGTATAAATGATCAGTCCAAAGAGTCGATTTAGCCATGTCCGTCTGTCTGTCTAACCTATTATATGCGAACTAGTCCCTCAGCTTTGATATATCAATCTATAATTTTGCTCACGTGCTTTACTCCCAAGAAGTTTCTTATTCGTCGGAAAACTTTGTTTTTGACAAGATATCTTCAAGAAAATCGATACTGTTTACTATCCAAGATAATGTCACAAGATCCGAATATATTGTTTATGTCGGATCACTACAGCATATATGTAGCAGCCCTAGCAAAAGCTTCAGGCTTCTTCCAAATTAGATTTATATGGGTGCCCGGTTGTGCCTGAATTGTCTGAAACTGCAAAGCTGGCGCCTAGTGGGAGCGCCCTCCAATTCCAATTTCATCCGATTGGATGCGTGTCAGTTTTCCGATGTCCTCTTGCGTTCTAGCACTGGACCTATGGACCTTCAGTAAAGTGGCAGAAATTGATATTAACCGCCATCACAAAGGACGATAGCAATATTTGGCGTTCATAAAGGTTTTATCCAAATGTTGTGAACCAACTTCATCTGAACTGATTGGGAATCTCTGTATTTCAAATAAATATTTTGATGCCTCACTCTGTTTTCGATCTCGTGGGGAAAATTCGAGTTTTGTATGCTTTACAAAGCAAGAAGAAAATAAAAATTATACAAATATATGTATACATACATATGTATTTTTGAATGTGTGACTATATATATATTTATATAATGTATGTGTATGTGTGTAATTCCCATGCGATAACATTGTGTGCAACTACTCAGCATTAAAAGTGCAACAAAATGCCAAATTAGCGCGAACAACAAACATAGAAAATCACAGTACGGCAACAGATACACACATACATACATGCATACATGTTTACGGTGCATTATTAAAGTGAAACAGCATGGCAACATGAAAGACAATGATTTCTTTACGGCACTAGTGGAGTTATAATTTAGATCTAATTGCAAGATACTCGCCGCATACCAGCTGTAACACATAAACAACAACAACAACAGAAATAATGGTAAAAAACCGAAAAATTAAAACAATAACAAACACGTATGGCAAACATATGCAACAAAAACATAGAGTAGGCAACCAACAAGTGGCAGTTTGGTAGCTTCCACGCTCGGCAATATTTTGTGGCAGTGAATTTCGTTGCGCTGTAAACGAAAAAAATCGGTAACCGCTGATGCAGACGGTTGCCAGGCACGCAGTCGGCAGACGGTAAAGTGCAACAGCACAATGAGGCACGCCACACTAAGCCCCAACTTCGATATGGCTGTGTGTATATGCGTGTGTGTGTGAGTCATTTAAAGAGACCGACTTGCAACATGCTATTTGTGTGGCAGTGATTGCAAGAGTCGCATGTTGCACGGTTGCAACTAACAACTAACAGATGAGTACATGTGTCGTACTTGTTGAATTGTCTGCTGCTACCATTTAAACAACAACAATAGCAGCAACAAAACAAACATATAAAGTATCCTATTGAAAAATCGTCAATTGTTAAAGGCATTTTATTGAGCGTTTGCGTGTTGCACACATATTAAGAGCGCAATGAGATCGCCGATAGGATTTTCTTACGACGTCATCAGTGGCGATAACGAAAAGCAACAACAACAAAGCAGTTGGTAAAATCTACGAAATGATTTAAGGTGGCCTAAGTTCGAGCGGGGGTTGAGGTGGGAAGCCTGAATGACGAAACATATCTCTAGCCCCTAATTAAATATTTAGCACAAACATTATTGACTTAAAAACCTAAAACTTACCATTCCAAAGAGGTTTAGATCGCCGAAAAAACAGCCCTGGTCAAATGAAATCGGGTTCAATACCGATAACGAATAAACGGCTGTTGTCCTCCTAGCAGTAGTAATTTCGAGGTTCAACGCTGGTCTAACCTCAAAGCTCTCTAAGTCTTAGCTGGGATAGCTAGAAGTAAAGTTCTCTCTCGATTCTCTAAAATATCTCATGCGGGCTAAGAAGCTTTAGTTTTACTATAACAGCTTTTTACGAACGGTCAATTTTCGCCGAACGACCTTTGGCTTCTTCTTTTGGTAAAACCTCCACACAATCTCAGGATATATATACATAGCACAGTATCGCATACTATATGAAGTTTTATTCGATCAGTACTTAGCCCCTCCAATGGCACCTAGAACGAGCACTGTCGACTGGTTATTCAATTTTTTGCAAAAGAACTCGCGCTGTGAAATCAAAGGGTACTTTGGTTTTTCATGCTGGCTCTTCTCCTTCGATAGCGATCAAAACCGTCTAACCTTGATCTCGTATTGACACAGTATCGACTGATAGTACGCGAGCTAGGTGAAGGATTTCACTTTTGGTTGCTCCGAATAATAAGCGCAACCGTGAGACCATTTCACAGCGGTATTTGACACTGTTTAAACGCAATCCGAAGGAGTTTTTTCTCGTTTCGTTCGTCAAAGAAACATCGATTCACCGGTACACCAGATACCAAGGAACAACCGAAGCAGCGGACTTTATATAACCACCCTGCCACAAAGAAAATGACTGCGAGCTTGGGAAGACTATCCTATAAGAAGCAATGGGTTGGCCGACGTTTTCTAGGATTTAATCTACATTGACCCCTTGAAAGGGGGTAAAACAGGGTAACAAGCTCTACCGAGTCGATTTATTGCACCGATTCGATACCGTATTCAAGAAGAAATGGACCCATTTGTCGAAGAAAAATTGTTCTTTCAAATTGCTCGAACTGGCTACGAACTGCTGGCTCCTCCACCATACTTTTCAGCTTTTGTCCGGTTCGACTATTTGTTTAGTTTTAGAGAAGTTTGAGTATCCCTAGATAAGGTGTATCGGTACATTATGTTTCGAACTAAACCGCCATTTGTCTTTCAAAATTTTTTATTTTGAAAAATAAGTAGATATCGGGCTGCTCCCGTTAGCACCCATTTGATACTAACCCGAACAGTGCTGCACAATTGAGAATATGATAGAAGACTGAACTTACAATTCTCCAGATTTGACTATACCTAATATAGCCGATGTGATTGTCTCTGCATGGAAATAATCACAAAAGGTAAGGAGTGTGATGTTCGCATTTTCTGCAAAGTCAATTAACTAACTATTTCTTCAAGTTTGAGTGCAGGAAAAGAACTGTCAAAGAGTAGATTTTATGGAGGCACATAAAAATTCGGTTTTGTCGGGGTTTAGTCAGGAGTGGTGGAGGAGTTTAAACTACATGTTACCAGATCGTTTATTAACTACCTTCAAATTTTGATTTATGTTTACCTAATAATATATCTATATCGATCCCTAAAGATCTGACAACAAACATTATATGAAGAATTCCATAAAACCCAGCGTACAACGTTTTTGTTCTGATATAAAATCTCAAAAATGCGCGCTCACTATTGCACATAGTCCAAATTGCACAAATACAACTGCAAATACAAATATTGTTGCAATATATTTGTTATTGTTGTACGACTGCTATCCGCCAAAGAGTAATGATATGGCCCATGCAACACACAAAGCGGCAGTAATGAGTGAACCAATGAATGAATTTGCCATTTTCGTAGCAAAAATTTATTGAAAAGTGCATCTAATGAGCTACTTTACTTGCCGCATGCCAGACAATGTGGCAGGCAGCCGCGTTTCCACAAACGAGCAAGCGTTTACGCCGTTATTATACCACGGCTATATTGTTGAAAGTAAAGTTACGATATTACTGCTAGTATCGTTTTTGTTGTTGCCTGCATATGTCTATTGTCTGTAGCCATGGATTGTTGTTGGTGCTGTTGCAAGCAGTGAAAATCCCGTATAATTGCAACAATTGCGTTTTAAAGTTCATGGGGCGCTGAGACGAGTGCTTGGCGGCTGCAACATGCGGGATGCAACGAATCGCAAAGACGTGTGCAGCATAAGTAATCAGCGTTGATTTGTTGTTGCGTATTTGAGATGAAAATCTTCAGTAGCTCTTTTGTCGTATTCATAATGATAATGATAGTGCTAAACGTTTGAGGTTATAAGTAAAGCAAACACGAAGGCGGCTAGAAACACGCTTTAGAAAAAGCTGTGTTTCGTCTGAAATTAAACTTACCACATATGTATGTGTGTCGTTCGGTAGTCTTCTTCAAGTGACCAAACAATAGTTAAAACAAAAATTAATAGATTTCTTATCGGATGGATCACCAGATGGATTCATCGAAAACTCCTAGAAATTAAGTACAAAAAAAGAAGCCCGTATATGAGATTTTATCATCGGTGCAATAGGGATTCTTTCAAAAGTCAATAATTGTTTACCCTCTATGTTATTCGTATATCCAAATATATTTGAGACTGACTAGGCTCTTGTTTCCTAAGACTTTGACCTGTTCTTTCTTCTTCAGTTTTCTTCAGCAAAAATATTCGCCATAGACAGGAACGGGTAGTAATCTCTTAAATCCAGGTCCAAACTATTAGGTAGATATATATGACCTCTCAACCAAGCTCCCGGAGCTTTTAGCGAGTCACTATCGATGTGCGTAGCCTAACGATGTTCTGATGCAGCTTAATTACTCTTCTATTGGACAAAGGTAGCCACTTCTGAGCATGTGCTCTCTTCAGACGGTCCAATAGTGACAGTAGTAGATCCAAATTAAGAGTTTAACCTTAGGGTAGAAGATCATAGTAGATGATTTTACTTTTTCTATTACTGACAGCAAGTCGCAATTGGTCTAATCTTCCCTAGCCCACATATAATAAAAATATGGATAGGACGGATACTGAATGATTTTATTCCGTATACCAGTTAATAGTCGTATGTAAGATTTTTTGGTGAACGATGGTATCTGTACAAAAATGTATGAAATTGAACCACAACTTCCCCTGTCCTCCATTTGAGCAATGTAATGACTTTCGTTTTCCATTTAATTTTTTCAATTTGCGATTGAATATATGACGCAACAATTTTTTTGGAGTTACTCTTTTTGACAGCTGTTACTTGCTCTAATACATAGTTTGATTTGCCATTTCATAATGAAGAGACTTACTGCGGAACAGCGTTTGCAAATCGTGCAAATTTTTTACTACTAAGAGTTTCGAAGATTTTGCTGAAGCATCTTGGTTTGTGGGCAATAAATGGGGAACGCTATAGAGCCATGGTTAATGACTTTTTAAATAATACTATAAATTTTAGATTTTAGCTCAATACATTTCTTTCCAACTTATCGAAGAAAAAACTTATATACGACTAAATTCAACTCAGAGCCATAAATACTCTCCTAAATTAAGAAAATTTACAGCTAAAAAAAACGCAACACAGCAACACAATGTTGGTAAGAGAGAGAGAGAGACCACAGCAACACATCTTCGGCACGTGCCGTTTACGCAACATATCAGTGTCAACATGTTGTTTAGCGATATGTAAATGTTTATGCAAACAATAAAGTTGCGACCGGAAGTGCGTTTCCCGCCTAAAAACCCACTGAATGTAATGTTGCTAGCAGCATGTTGCTTGAAGTGGAATACTCGACATGAATACATGTATGTGATTGTTAGCAGCTCGTATATACGCATGTATGTATTGTATGTAGTATATGTACTACGACAAAGGTATTAGTGACTTAATTGCAGTAGTTCCCAAAATATTGTTCAGATTTTAAGATTTAAACGTTTATGAAACCTTAAATTTTTTTAGAAAGTGAGAACATATGGAAATATAGAAAATAATATTGACAACGTAAACTTACTTTTCAAAATTATTCATTTAAATAAAAAGTTCATTATTAGAAAATTTTCTAACGCCTTTAGACTTTTCATGAATGTTAAACTGAACTTAAAGGGAATTATATTATATTACAGGAGTAAAAATATTGTATTGTACTTGGAAAGTAGGTATTATTATTGGATTTTTATATAAGTATGTATAAATGCAGTACTATCGACTTTCTATTCATGCCATATGAGACGAGTGTAAATATCCGACTTCGTTTATGTTCCTTTAGAAGATTTATAATTCAGGCTCCCATATTTGGCTGATTAAATATAAATTTGTCATTTCCTATTTCAGCTTCGCGGATGTAACTACGTAGATCGATGCGATTCAGTTTTCAAAATCCCAAGCCCGACAAAAATTTCTCTAATGAAATTCAAAACAAGAAAGAAACGTTAATTTCGGCTGCACCGAAGCTGTAATACCCATTTACAGGTTCAAGTTTTTTTATAAGAACTTCATTTTGATCGGTCAGTTTGAATGGCAGCTATATGCTATAGTGGTCCGATATCGGCGGTTCGTTCGAATGAGCAGCTTCGGCGGTAGAAGAGTACGGGTTTAATATTTCAGGTTGATATTTTAAAAACTGAGGTACTAGTTCGCATATATACAGACGGACATGGCTAAACCGACTCAGCTCGTAACGCTGACCATTTATATAAATTTTAAAGGGTCTCCGTCGTGTTCTTCTAGGTGTTACAAATTTCGTGGCAAACTTAATACCGTATACTCTGTTCAGTATATAAAAAGGGGTTTACTTGCTTATTTTCTTCATTCTTTTTAATATAGCCACTATGTATATTCAGTTTTTAATCTAAATAGTAAAGTTCATCTAGATTTAGAAATCCGAAGCTGTATTGACCGAAGTCATGGACTTAGTATGATCTAAAAAGGGCTTAAAAAAGCTTACAACAGTTAAATCTAAACATCATACCGCCCAAAGCTGTTAATATTTTGGAAACTACTCACTAAAAAATTCAAAACTGATTCGCTAACAATTAAGTATCGTTCTGCGATAATTAAACACAAATACAAAGTGACACGCGAACCACCTCTGATCGTGTTAATGCACAGTTACTTGGGAAACACTGAGGCAAATGAGACCAGCTAAGCGCACACACCGACACACCCCCATTTACCTGAGCAAATTCACACACACACAGGTAATGCACACATACACAGACTTAGGGGCATAGCTATATGCAAGCATGCACGCAGCCACGTCCAGCAACAGCCGAAGCAACAGTAAAAGCCAACAGCAACAAAGCAACAATAACACAACTGGCAAATAAGCAACGATGACAACAAGCAACAGCAAGTTGCTGTTGCAGCGCTCGTATCGTTGCCGGTCGCCTCCACCATCGCTTAGCCGGTCGTCGGACGACAGACGCAAGTCGTGCAAAAGTCGACGACGGTCGCGCTATCAAAGTTGGAAATTTGCCTTCTTCTTACCTAAATGCGAAATTCGGTTTTGAAAATTCAGTTGGCGTTCGACCAGCAAATGCAACGAACGGTTTACAGCGGCTAAACGGACCACAAAATACAATATGAAGAAAATACAAAACTTAAACTAAGTAGTAGAAGTGATAAAGCAAAGCACACGCTGGAGCGCTTAAAAGTGCAGACTAAAACAAATTAGTGTTAATTGTGAGAAAGAAAGAAAAAAAAATCAAAAGAAGTGGTAACTGTGAATGTGAATTAAAAGTGTTAAAAAATTATTTTTTATGAAAACTCTTAGCGACTTGGCGAGCTAAAGAAGCCGATTGGGCAATAACACGTCTCAATTAACACGTGTGTTGCTGCTGTTGTTGGATTTTTCCATTTTTGTTTTTTGTTTCTGTATAGAAAAGGTGTGAAAATTAGTTTGCGACTTTTTTGGTGCATTGATTGTTTATTGCATTTCATTTATTTGTTGTTGTTGTGGTTGTCTTTAAGTCTTTGAAATTTCAACTTTTTCCTTTGCCTGTCAGTCGCTGGCAAATTAATTTGTCTTTGTTACTTTTTTAGTATTTTTGTTTGCTCTCTGGTGCACTTCCGTTTCATGCGCATAAAATTGCAACAAATTGTTGCATGCAACTAATTAACAAATTTTTAATGACACAACAAATTGCGTTGATGTGCATTGCAAGTGTAATGTCTGCTTTGGCGAGAAATTAGCGAAAAAGGAAATTAGTATTCACTAGCGTGTTTCCATTTGTTAGAGTAAAAATTTAATAGTTTTTTGTTCAAAAGTGCATTTCATAATTATGCATTCAGAATTTTATTTACACAAAATTTTTACATAGAGATTTTTTTGGTTTATTAAATTGAGGCGAGGTAGTCAATTTGTTGTTACATGAAATTCGAAATAATCAGTTTTTGGTGCTGAGCTAATTTATTTATTTATTTTCAAAAAAAATTGTTTCGTTCTGATTTACACACACAAATTTTAAAATCGCTTCGATAAAATTAAAAAAAAAATTATTATATTGTGCTATATATAGATAAGCCGAAATTTTTATAGCAATATGAATAAAAATGCAAACATAATTATTTTAATAAATTTTAATAGCAGAATTAACTGTTTTTTATTGAAACATTGGCAAAAAATTTTTCAAAATTCAAAAATGCAGGTTAATAAAATTAAATTTTAGTACAAATTGCTTTTGATTTTCCAAAAAAAAAAAACTATTGATGTGCTATATAAATAAAAGTAAATATTTAAAATAAATATAAAAAAAAATTATAATAAATGTAAACATTTTTAAAACTTTGCCGAAAAGAAAATTAAACAAAAATCACATTGAAATTAATTTTTTTTTTTTTTAAATATTATCAAAATTAGAAAGAGTTTGTATAGCTAAAATATACGAAATTTTTTTTCAAAGTTCTAAATAAATTTTTAGTTAAACAATTTTTTAACAAAAAATAAAAAAAACAATATCAGGAAAATTTTTAAAAATTAATATGTGGAGGAAAAAAATTATGTTTAATTAAATCTTTTTATTAAAAGAAAATGTTGAGTTATTGAAAGCAAAACATTTTGATAAAGTTTTAAATAGTTTAAAATATATAATAGTTTACAATTAGCGTCGATAGATGGGTTAAAAATAGAGACAAGAAAAAACATTAACTTCGTCGGCACTATTGTATAATACCCTTCACAGGTGCATTTTTTGTAGCATAAAAGGGTATACACAGATCCTTATGGTGCTTTTGATCAGTCAACTTGAAAGGCAGCTCACCAATTTCTGCGAAGCTTGTAGCGCTGCCTTGGATAATAGTATTTTCCAAATTTCGTGAACATATCTTGTCAAAAAAGTTTTTCATATAAGGACTTGAGTTTGATCGGTCAGTTTGTATGCCAGCAATATGTTTAGTGGCCCCATATCGGTGGTTCCGGCTAATGAGTAGCTCCTTGGAGAAAATAAGGTGTGCACAAAATTTCAGATCGATATTTCCAAAACTGGGGGACTAGTTTGCATATATACAGAAGAACAGACTTTATAGGGTATTCGATGTTTCCTTTTGGGTTTGACAAACATCGCAGCAAACTTAATATATCCTGTTCAGGGTATAAAAAACTAAAAAAAAAATAAGTCCTTATTAAGCATTTCTATAAACTCAAGCTCCAAAAGGGATTTATTCATAAGACAAAATAATTTTCCTCCACTAAAATTTGAGCAATATGTTCATTATGAACACATACCATATATTTATATATCAAGTTTATGTTGATCTCCGTGCACCGAAAACTTCTGCTTGAAAACGTTCCAAAAACTCCTTATATATACGGATCGCTTAGTTAAGGCATCCGCTATTCTCCACATCAATGCTGTGTGGTGTCATTTAAATCAATTTTGAGGCCTAAAGCTTAAGTGAATCATTCTTAGAAGGCTTTAATTCGATAAGAAAAATTTTAAACTCTCCAACTACTTTTTTTAATAATAGACTAGTACAAAAGCCTTTGAAAATGGTTAAAAATAAATGAAATTCATAGTAATTACATGGCAAAGTTGTTACTAATGAAAAGCTCTACAACTTTTGTGTTAACACCTTTTTACATAACATCAAAACGTATGTGATAAAATATCCAAGTTGTTCAGTTTTTTAATTTTTTTGGAACAAAAATTTTTTTCCACGAAATTTGGCTTAAACTTACTTTTTTATTTAATTTAATATATTAAAAGGTTAAATAAATGAAGAAGTTTAAAAACTTAAAATTTAATAAAAGAATATTAAACTATTTTAGGCCATTCTATTTGTAAATTTATAGCAAACGTTCATTACAGAAAAAATTTTGGAGTGTTAAGCCATTTCTCATTATAACAAGCCTATCAATTTCGACCACTTTACGAAATATCTAATATTTAAGCATTAAATTAAATTTTCTATCAACTTTTTTTTGAACATTTTAGAACTTAATTAATTTTTTTTGAACAGAATATTATTTACACAATTTGAAAAAGTTCTGAAATAATCTTAAGTTTTTGAAGATTTTTTTTTGGAATAAAGCAATACTACAATCCTCAATGGACATGAGCTTTTGAGCTTAATTTTATTTCAAGCAATTACATACATAATCTCGATCGCACATTTCGAAAAACAAATGAGCAAAGTTATAAGAAGATAAAGCTATAAAAAATAAATATAGCAACTGAAAATGTTTGAAAATTTATACAAAAACTAAAAATACTTTTTCAAAATTAACGCCAAAGGTTTAAGACAACTCAGAAAGTTAGCAAGGTTCCGAAAAACAGAATATATCAAAATGTAAAATTGTTCAAATAAATTAAAATTAATTTTTGAAAATTTGTTACATCAGAAATTATTATAAAATGATGTTTTAAGAAAACAAATTGTGAAAATATTTTGATGAAAAAATCATATTTATTAAAATAAAATTACAATGTAAAATAAAACATGCCAAAAATAAAGTAATTTCTTTTTGATTGGATTTAATTTATGCGAAAACTTATTTTAAAGAAATATGAAATGAAAAAATATTCCAAATATTTATTAAAAATTTTTTACCTATTGTTAGATTTTTATCTATAAAAATATATATTTTTTTATCAATTTTAGGAGTTTTAACATATTTTTAATATTACTAGATATTATATTATTATTATTATTGTCTTTGTTTTTTGTTTTTGTTGATTTTTTATATAGTAAAGTTACTATATATCCCTCAACTTTTATAAGAATAATCCCATTAATCCCGCATAGGTGCATTCAAAAGTGTTTGTTTTGCTTCGAGTCCAGTTTTTCCAATTGGCTCTGCGCTTTCGCTCGCAAATTTAGTACAAGAAAATATTATTTTTAAACTCATATACATTTTCACGTGGCGCAATTTGTATTTTCTCGATTTATTTTTATTATTTTTTTTTTTTTGTTTTGTTTTTAACTTCTTGATTAGTTACCCTCCCACATGGCGTCTTGTGCTTAATTTGAAAACTAACAAATAAATAGAAATCCCTCGCCAAGTTGGCAAGTCGGCGAGGAAAATATTTTTTATGCAAATATTTATTAATGTGATGACTTGCAGAAAGCAATTCGCAAATGAACTGCAAAGTGTTTAAAGTCTACAATAGACGACTCATAACTGAATCGTAGAATTTGAATAAAACTGCTATAAACTATATAAAATATTATTGTATAATTGGCATTTAGAATGCCGTAAATGGAAAACATAAAACTTTTTACAATACGATTTTCCGTAAAATCATAAGCAAATATTTTTAACGACGCGTTCTAAAATGTCTCATCAGGGAGTGTTCCATATTCGCTAGTGAACTCGAACAGAGATTGCAGAGAAAATAAGAGAGCCAGTGTAACTATGAAGTCAAAGAGAACTATCATAAAAAAAAATCACTTTGGAGCAGTAACTATCCAAATAGATTTACGTAACACGATTACAAAACAACCTTCACAAATTAAAAAGTTTCTATACAAGAACTTGATTTTGCCTTTTCAGTTTATATGACAGATAAATGCGATAGTGATCCGATCTGCACAATTTGTTCGAAGATTGTACCGTTTCCTTGAATAGTGAGCCATTCCAAATTTTGTAAAGATATCTTGTTAAACAAAAAATTTTCCTACAGTCAGTTTGTATGGCAGTTATATTCTATAGTGGTTGGATATCGGCGTTTCCGATAAATGAGCAGTTTCATGGGGAGAAAAGGATCTGCAAAAACGATATCTCGAAAACTAAGGTACCAGTTCGCGTATATACAGGCGTACAGACATCTCGCCATGCTGATCTATATATAGTATATATATTTTATAGGGTCTCCGATGCTTCCTTCTAGGTGTTACAAACTTCGTCGCAAACTTACCCTTTTCAGGGCATAAAAACCAAGTTGATTTGAGAGAAGTACTTCGTATATTTAGTTTGTCAGTTTTTACTGAACATTTTGCTCTCCCTTTCTTCGTACTCCCTTAAGTGCACTGAAATTCTCACGTTTTAAAAATATAGATAACAATAAAGTGTAGATTATTATTTATAGATACGTAATACCTCCAAAGGTGCTTAAATTTCGACATATTTTGACCTGATAAGGCCGATTTTTGCCAAATGATTGTACATTCATGCTCATGCGAAAAAGAGCTCAACAACTTAAGCGGTGGTCAGCAAAATATTGTTATAGATAAAAGTTCTTCGCTTCTTTTGATTTCTTTACTTTTTTTTTAATTTTACTTTCTTTATATTATATTTTAAGACCGCGAACTAATGCGCTTTTTGCCTACATTGCGATTCCGCTGAATCCAATTTATATACACATACAAACAAATATATGTTGAAGCATAGCAGTCCGCCGATTCACTCGGCCTTAAAATTCATTCATAAAAATTTATTGAGTTTGGTAACCATTGTAAAACAATTAAATATTGCTGAAAGATTTTTGGAGCACAGGAAGTATTGAGTATTTCCACTGTTAAGCCATAGATCGAAAGAAATTAAAATATGGTGAACTTTTTTATTGGGGTCGTGATAGCACGGTTTGCAGTTATACTAAAAATTATCTATGAGTTGAGCATGCTAGCACTAAACCATCTTTTAATCAAAAAAAATATTTTCATATCATTTCCTTAAAATTTCTGTCGAATTAACTGATAATTTCGGAATTAAGGCATTAAGGTCCTTAAATTCAGTATCTGTACACTTTTAATTCTTTACTCCGATTTCCGCGTACAAAGTTTGAGGCAAATTGGTCGAATAGTCGCTAAGATATGAGATTTCAACTATAAACGAGTAATGCCACGCCCATTGTACAATTCTTTAATTATTTTACATGTCAACCAACTATCTTTACGATTAAATTTTACACTACTGACGTTTTCGGCTAGAAAGTTATCGCAATTTAGGTATTTTTTAATATAACCGTTGCATGGTGTGTCGGTCTGGTTGATATAGCTTTAGTAGTTAGTTAGTAAATATTATATATGAAATCTATAGGGAGACTCCTCTTCAAAAATGTTTCAGCCACATTTACCTTTGCTCACTGTGTGCTCCATTTTTGAATTGGATATGACACTTTAGATTTTTCGTTTAGTGACGTTATGTGACCGGGGCAATCGTCCGGTTTTGCCCATGTAAACCTATTCTGAATGACAACGCACACGTATACTAAGTTTCATCAAGAAATAATATATTCAAGTTATCGTTAGCAAACAGATGAGCCGACAGACATCCCGAATTCAGTTTGTACCGTCAGCCTGTTAATTTTGATACACATAACTTTATATCTATCTCGATTAGTATTAGATATTACAAACAACCGTTAGGTGAACAAAACTATTTTACTGTCTCTAATATTTTGCGAGAGTATAAAAGTAGGGATATTGCCTCCATACTTTTATTTGCACAATCTAGATTTTAAATAAAATTTTTCTCAAGACAAAACATTTATTCGACAACAGAAGAGAAGCCCCAAAAAAAAATATTATAAAACAATTTCAACAACAAATGCAATAGAAACCTCAAATAGTATTGTATATATGTATAATACGAATATAATTGACCAATTTTGTTTTACATTAGAACAAAATAGATTCAATGCCAAGTCGCGAAAATACTTAAAGCGGAAATCTATTTGTGCAAATCAGCTAAAACTAAATGATACTGAAATCTGCCACAATTGAGATTTCCAAAAGAAAAAAATACAAAATTAAAAAAAATAAATAAATACAAAAAATACTAAAATATAAGACCAAATAAAAGTTGGCAAGCAAATAAATTTGAAAACCATAAAATCAACACCCACAATTCGAGCGACTGCACCGAACAAATCGATGCATTGAGCACCGAAAGAAGACATTAGTCATCGACTCATCGAAAATACTTATATACCGTTGTAAAATATATCTACGCATACTATATACGTAAATAAACACGTGAATGACATAAAAACTGAAACAATTGACATTACCGGAAGAGCATATGCAGACACAAATAAATATACTACAAGTGAAAAAGGTAAGAATATTTCACATAAATATTATACGACACTATCTACTTATACAAGTATATACAAATTCGGTGTGCACCACCAAGCCTCTAAATGTATTTTTAACCTTCTTACAAAAGTCTATCAGCTGACAGCTTAAGGTTAGGGCTAGATAATCTAACGGGAGATACGACAGCATTGGACCAAATACAGAGAATGTACACGTTTCTTTTTATTATACTACTAGAGTTTTCCCGATGTGCTTCGCTATACAAAATACAAAATTAACTAGTTTAAATACTGCCGAACAACCAGGCAACTTGTTGCTACTTTAAATCATAAACATAATTTCGATTAGTTTTCAAAAGGGCAATATTTTAAACGATTTCTACTCATTACTACAGTTCCTTTATTATGCGCGGTTTTCATTACGTCAAATTTAATGACATTAAAAGTCAAACTGATGAAATCGTTTGTGTTTTCATTTTCACAGCAATATATTCATATGACAATAATTTTCGAATCATCAAAAGAGACAAATTTATGCTCGACAATAAAGTTTCTGTGAAATTTCCCCACCACCGGGTTTGACAGTTTATTGGCCCTAATAGAGTGTTTCACCTTCATATAAGAAATATTCCTTATTTATAATTTTATATTTTCATTTGTCATTTGAGCCATTGACAATAGTAAAATATCACTTTGCGGTGTCCGCATACACTCTTGCACAAATTCATCTCGATAATTTAACTCTTGCTTTTATATGTAATTTTTCTAACAAGAGACCAACACGCAAAGATAGCGAGCAGAGAAATGGCGATTCGAAGAAATAGTGGTTTCTAATGGCACAAACAGTCACCGACGCAAAACCGTGGACCGAATCGGCTGATACGACCTATCTTATGAGAGCGCAATGTAACACAGTCACAGACCGTACGGTAAGATATCCGCGAAAATTGGATTTTTTCGGTAGAAACGAGTGAGCTAAGAGTGAGAGAGCAATCTCTTACAACGCAGGGTTGTCAATCTCGATAATTTGTAGTAATTAAAAAATAAACATGAACATATTTGAAATACTCCTAAAATAACTTAAAATCACAGTTAAATACATTTTTTTTATAAATAGTTAAACTATTTTTAATAGTCTTACTTTAGTTTTGAGCTTTTAAATTATTTTTAAAATTATAACTAAAAAACTAAATGCGTGAAAAATCGTATATACAAATAGAACAATGGCAACATTGGTGAAATGAAAACAAAAGATGAACAACTGATTTCTGCGTTGCAACTACGGGCCTAACTTTTGACAAATTTGGTTTAAAACGGGCGGTAAGTACGGCAGGGAGGAATGTCGGTGACTGTTTGTTCTATAAGGGTCATATTATACATGTGAATTATAAATAATCTAGTTCCTATAAATGCGGGGTGGGAGGTGAGAAATGATTTTTATCATTTTCTGTGGTTAGGTCACATAGCTAACAAATCATCGCTGAAGAAGAGTACTATTTTGTGAGCTTGAAACTTATGTCGAATTCATTAACTTTCATATGATTTCTGGATTTAATTTCTTGAGCATTTGATTTGTTTTCTAGATCAGAATTTGAATACTCAGCTGAGCTCATTTGAGCATTTGATTGTCCTTGATTAGTTCACAGTATTACTACCTACATATGTATAATAATTATCAATCGGAGCAAAAAATTGCTGCTACTTGAACTAAAAATGCAAAAAACTGTCTAAAGATATAATAAAATCTGCTGCTAATTAAAAGCGACAAATTTTTAATTGAAATGCAAGTGGTGAAATTCGCTAAATCATGTCAGCCTACACTTACAAGCGTACATACATAGGTACAACCGCATGACCGGAAATACAGTAATTGAAATAGCATACGCGCGCAGAACTAAAACTATTTGCAAATGTCAATCAAACAACAATTCTGTCAAAAAACGCAAAAATATGCCAAACAAAGTCGCAGTGATCTGCGTACGTCACATACGTCATTAGATTCCGATTCGGTATGTTGATACGCGCATCACAGTAGGTGCTATGCGAAATTGTGGCGAAAATCTCTACATATGAGTACTTACATACGGATTTACTTATGAATGAAATGAAATTGATTTATTTCGGGTTTTCTTTCATAAAATGCCTTTTGGGCGGAAACATACTGTATACTTGTATAGTATATATGTATGTAAATAATATATCAATTTGACGTTTTCTGCTAGAGTATCGATCGCCAAGAAGAATTGGAGTAGACTATATTGAAAATCTACATGGTATACAATTAAAATTTCCTAATAGGCATAAAGATATATAGGATGTACGGATGTTCATAAATAAGGCATTTCTTATGTATATGTAAAAATAAATAATGTATTGTGTTTAGAGAGAAACCACGGTATTTAGTGCCAATTATCTATGGTAAAATACCATGGAGGTATTATGTATGATTATCTTCGACATATGTATTCGTACATATAGGAAAAATATTTTTCAAATATACTGTCTTGGAAGCCTATGAGGATAACTTTTGTGTTGAAAAGTAAACATGGCTCTCAGATATTCAGATTGGACCCCACCGGACTTTTTCTCATTTGAATATTTTATAAAACTTGTCAGCTATTCTCAGATAACTGATGCATTTTAGATAGAAGTTGGTGCCGACATATTCCTTAAAAACATTCAAGTTAAAGAAAAAAATCAGAAAATGTGTTCTCCCCAGCAGAATATGCCAACTCATCCAGAACCTGTCGGAAAAAAACACTCAAACCAATTTCGTATTAGACAATTATATTATAAAATATTATCAATATATACCTGCGACTTTTTCTTAAGCAGTTTAAGACAATTCGGCTGTAAAAATGTATTTCATTTCACGCAAGCTCCTTAGTTTGGTATTGTAACGACAATATTTCAGATATATTTAAATATCTGTAGTCAGCTCATAGAACTGTTGTTCAGCGAGGTAATTAGCTTAAAGTACTTCATTTATATATTCGTGCCTTTAAGAGACCATCTCTCTAATTGAAGATTTAGATGACTGACATGGATAGATCAACCACCAGTCTAAAGGTGTGATAGCTTAGGATGAGCTCTAAATCATTTAGATTACTTTTCATCATTCATCCATAATCGTTTTCTTAGTGGTTATAAAACACATTTTTCCTAATAACGGAATGTGCACTTATAATATTATATTATCTACCCTTAAAAATTCAGGTTATTTAGGAAAATAAGTCTTAATAAAGTATTTAGAAGATTTAGAAATAAGATCACCCTTAATAAATGTGTACTCTGGCCTGTTTGTGCAATGGTGCTTCCTGTTTACGATTTCCTCTTCAATGTAGGCACATGTGTCTACTTACAAAGTTGGTCTATCTTATTTTCCATAGTCATAATTATCTTTTCAATGAAGATTTGCGAGATCAGAGACCGCGATCGATTGACAGCGATCGATGGCTGCTGTCTGATCGCTCGATCGATGCATTAGATGGCGACACATTATTTGCTGCGTTGCAAATTATTGCGAAAAATATGCGCGATTGCCCAGAAACAAACAAACAAATGCATAATTATAGACGTAGGCAAAGCATGATGCGCGTCAAAATAAATCGAATTGTGCGAGAAACGTTGGCAAAAAGAGGAAGTGAAGCAGTGCTAGTACAGGCGGTACTGAGAAGTAGGTAATATTTTGTTCTGAGGTAATTCTAGACTTGAATTTTCTGCAAGAGAAAGATCATGAGAGAAAGTATTCTTATAAAATAAATTGTCGGTTTAACATTTTACTAATGCATATAGAATATGTATTCAGCTATACTGTACTACTGTCTACTAAAAAGTGAATGCAATTTTTTAAAAGTCGATTCAGAGACAGACTTGCAGATTTCAAAATTTTAAATCAAAAAGTTCCGTTCTTAGACAAATAGGTCTGGTAGATGCATTATTTTAACATCAGCCTTAATATTAGCAGATGCACGAAATTCGATTCAAATATGTATATTTTGGATTGAGGGAGTCCCAGTATTCTCTGGGATGAATGAAAGTTTAGCAAAGAGGCAGGCAAACATCTTTTAATTTAATTTGATTATTCCAACAATTTTTATATTCCCTTTTGGGTTCACGAAAAAGAGTTGGATTAACAAAAGTTCAAAACACTTGGACCGCGTATAACGTCTTGGTATAAAAAGCTCGAGAAAATAATGCATACATATGTATGTATATATATGTGAGCATGTACGATGGCGGTCCGATATGTACTTTGTCAAACAAACAAAATAACGACGAAAAATTCGGAAAAATGGCGATTAATTCCGCAGCATAGCGTCTTTTTAGCTCGATAAATTGGACCCAACGAAGCTCCATCTTCTTTGACTTCTTTCCAAAGGTTTGTAAGTAAGCATCCTCATTCGACTCAAAAATTTTACAGTAACCCTTACCTCTTGCGATAGTAATGCTCTCGAACGGTGAGACTAACTACTTCTTGAACCGCCCTCGTATGTATACATATATGTCAAAGTTGACTGAACACTGCACGTTAAAATCAAAGAGATGATCGCGCATTCTATAGACAAACTATTTGCATAAATACCATATATGTATATGTACATATGTACACATATAGAAAAATTAGACTGTCAGCCGTCGAGTATGCTGCTAAAAATTCACATTTGCATGAATCTATATATGTATGTATATACATTATACATATTTGTATATACATTAGGGTGGGTCAAAAAAAAACTAACCTCTAGGAAAGTCTCTCCAAGAATCAGTTCCTAATTGTTACGAAAAACTCCTCCGCCTTGAAGTTTTCTATTTTTGTTTTATTATCAGATAGAAAAACTCAAATATCGCTTAAAAAAATATACCGTTTCGTAGATTTTGGTAGGAAAATGAATGCCAGCCTAATATACATATATATACATATATTATATTATTTGTGTATCTGCAAAATGTTAATTGTTGTACCGTATGTATGTATTTATGTAGCTCTATGCCAGCGCAGACACGCTCACTCCCACAA